CCCAAAAAAGAAGCCCCCCCCGGCTCTGACGCACCCCCCCGCCATCTGGGCGCTGTTGCGGAGGGACACGCGCCCCCACTGTGCCGGCCGCACCCCGAGCGCCAGCCGGCGGCAGTGGGGTCTGCGGACGGCCACCACCACACGTGCTGAGCCGGGCCTGCCGGGCAGCCAGAGGCCGGGGAGGGCATGGTAGGAGGCTCTGGAAACTCGGGGCGCTCCTCGCCACCTCTGGAGGGGTCAGTGGTTCGCTGAGGGCCTCTTGGGGGCCACAGGTGAGGCGGGCCCGGGCTGCCTGAGCACCCTCGGGCCGCTTGTTCCAAAGACAGGGAGCCGGTCCACCGGGGGGACGCCAGCTCTGGCCATCGGCCTCGTCCAGCCCCCCGCCGCCGGGAGGCCAGCAGCAGCGGTCAGACAGCCTCGGGCCTGGGAGCGTCCCGGGCGCCCTGCCGGGCTGGGGAGGTGCTGGAGCTCTGCGGGCTGGGGAAGGGCGCGCGGTCTGGGGGTCAGGGGTGCTTGCTGGGTCTCAGCCACACCCCGTGTCTGCGACCTGCCCGCACTCCCTCTGCCCGAGGCTGGGCAGCACAGCGGAGGGCCATGCCCGGCCGGCCTCTGGCCTCTGTCCTCGCCTGGCTCAGTGCGGGGGCGGCTCAGCCGGGCAGGGCAGGACCCGCAGCCTCGGCCCTGCGCTGCAGCGGCCCCGCCCCGGCCCACGAGCTGCCGCCCTCGCTGACCCCGGGGAGTGGCCCCACGCTCCAGGGGCTTGGCCCTGAGGGTCACACTGGCCCCGGCGCCCCCAACTCAGCCTGGGGCCTGTCCACGAATGAATGAGTGGATGAGAGACCTGACCCTGGCACCTAAAGGCAGGGTTGCCCCTCACTCCGAGCCTGGCAGAGAGCACAAGGCCGGGGCTCCCCGCGCCCGGCACACGCGGGCGGGGTGCGGGCAAGGTCCTTGTCGCTGCAGCAGGCCCGCCTGGGCTGGGGTTTGAGAAGTCCCCCGGGTGCAGCCTCCAGGCCGACGCAGGCCCCCGCCCCCGCATTCAGCCGAGGGTGGCAGGAGGCCCCGCGGGGCACCCAGGGCTGCACCCAGCTGCTGCCCAGGCTGGCTGGGGCCTCGCAG